GATTATCCATCATCATGCTGAGAAAAGGCGTTCAGGTAAGACAATGCCCCTTTTCTGCTGATCATTCCCAGCATGATTGACTTTTTGAGTGAGTCAGCTTACATGACATGACCAAAGTATGACAGCCTCTGTTTGGCAATCTTGGTTTCAAGTAATATTGAAGTGATCCTTCTTATGCTTATTGAAATAGCCTGAGCCACATTACTCAGAAAGTAGGCCTTAAAAGAAGGGGTATTTATATCCTCAAAGAAGTTTGTTGAGACCCTGAAGGAAAGACGGCTAACCTGGTGAGCTTGATTAAGCCTACAGGCTAGAGATTCCCCATCCTTAGCTTTAGTTTGGCAACTTCAATAAGTGTAGCTCACTAGGTAGGGAGAACAGTGGTAAGAAATTACTACTGTGAGTCCTAAGACAGAGAAAAGAGACTCCCCACTAATATTAAATGATGACAGTTGGCATAGCATCCTTCTCAGAGGTCACTCAGAAACAATAATCACTTCTGAATTATAATTATGATTGAGCATCTTAAAATTTTTATATAATAAAAAATAGGAAGTCCTAAGCAAGCATGTGAAGGCCTTATGGAAAGAAAAATAACAAAGATATATGATCTCTGGCGTGGTTACCATTTTATAAATGTCCTCATCATTAAGATAGTACGTGGATAAGACATAGGAATAGAGATTAGAACAGCTCTCCTCAATCAGCTTGACTGCAGAAAGCTGATAGAAAGCCAGTCATATTGTCCATTGAATATAAACTGTATTATGTTTAATATACAGATGCACCAAGTAATGCATTATTTATAAATATTTGCGAACATTTTTAAATATCCTCTGAAGAAACAAAAGAAATTACATTAAGTTGGAAGTGGAGTAGTATCTCTCCAGAGATTTATAGAACACCCTCCATAATGATGTTCCAAAAAATCTTTGAAAACCTTGCTGTTCTTCCAGGCTTTGGGGTAAGGTGGTTGTTGAGCTCCTGTAGATTATTTTTATTGTTATGTATGGTTTTCCCTTTTGGACACCTATGATATGTTCCATAATTTTTTATTATTTTTTGCTTTTAAAGAAAGTTGCTTTTCAGTAAGGTGGCCTCTAAATTCTATAAATAAATAACTGGACCCTTTAACCCCAGGCTTTGTCCTGAAGCAGGTAAGAGATTATAAGTTTTCTTCATGCATATGCTTGGAAATACTTTGATGCTTAGACTATGGTGCACCTTGAATTTAAATATCAGGGAACAAAACGCAGATGATGCAGAATAATTTCTGTTTCCTATTAAGTTACTCTTATGCATGTTATTTCTTTAGACCTCCAAAAGATTTTGCTACAGTTCTTCACCAATATGCTAATGTCTGAATTGAAGGTTGCCAACCTGATATCCATCAGATCTGAACATATCTGCCCAAACAACAACAGGATTAAAAGATTATAGAAATTTATTCGATCAATTTATATAGTTGCCCACTTCAACAATGACTCTTAGAGTTGCAATCCAATACACGCACACTTTTCAATCTTAACAAATGCCTCTGAAACTGGTGAGACATAAAAGCATCAGTACCATGGTCTGAACTGGGTGCTCTTTGCACGAAATCATCTACAATATACATCTGTCTCTTGATGTTCCTGGCAACAATGACCCACACAATGCTCTCAAAATTCCAATTGTATCCACTGCCCTAAAATATTAGGGTCTAAACTTTTCCTTCTTGAGAGAACATGTGTCTTTCTATTCTGTCCATCATCTGCCTTTTCCAATTTGCTTTTTCTAGTTCACATTATATAGAGCTCATGTTAGTTGCTCTATTTAACTTCTTATATAAGTTTGTGGTCCTTAAGATGTTCCATTTTCATTGAATAGTCTTTCCCAACTTGCATCTCTCCAGAAATTCATGCCAGAATAGCCATCAACTGTATTGGCGGGTAGTCTAAAAATTATAATTTCAAACATCTGGAAGACTGCATTAAACTGAATATGGGAATGTAGGTCTGTTATAAAATCTGAAGAGAATTCTGAATTTAAGGGATGGATGAAAAAATGTTCTATTAAAAGCATTAAAGCAAATGTGTATTTTTCTACCTTCCAACAAGTAAATACAAACACATACAAGAAAACAATCCAGGATATACAATTAGGACGAACAGTTATAGAGAGCAGAGTAGATTGCTTCATTTCAACGGCAGTGAACACAAAACTATGGACATTCAGGAACATTCGTTAAAGTGTGTGTGTGTGTGTGTGTATGTGTGTGTGTGTATGTGTGTGTGTGTATATATATATATATATATATATATATATATATATATATATATATATATCTCCAGATGTCCTCTTTGCTTACTTTCCTAATGTAACCAGCAACTTGCCTCATTTAAATGCAACTTTATCCACAAATGCAAGTTTTTCTTTGTTTAAAAAATGATAAAGTAGCCATAAAAAAATTAAACAATCTCCTAAAGATAAACTACCAGTGAAACTGTAATAAGGCCTGTCTCTTGTCAAAAGTTATTAAGGAACAAGTATGACAGACTTGTCTGCAAAAAGACATCACTTGTACATAGGACATATTTAAGGCCTGTCAGTGATTTCCCTCTGTTGATAGGTCTGCTTATTCTTAATATACACATCCTTTTATATTTGTATAAATCTAGTGCATTGTACAGAACAGTGATTTATTTGCTGAAGGAAGTAACATAGTTTCCCAGTACCTAAATTTGAGCCCCTGCACATTACAGTCTTTTGTTTATCCAGATTATAAAAGAGCAAGGTCTTAAACTAAAACCAGTCTCCTTACATTTTTCTTCCTTTTGCATAAGAACTAAAGTCAATAAGGCCATGCAAATCAATGTGTACAAAAATAGGATTGTTTCATCTAAAAATAAAATGTTTGATTGATATGCCTAAAGTAGTTATTCTTAAAGTAGGTAAGTAAAATACTGATCAAACAGTTGCACCCATGTAACAGTGAAGACAGCCATAAAATATTGGTGGTAAAGGAAAAAAATCTCAAGTTTTCCAATATAAATACCAATCCTGCAAAGGATAAACTAGTATTTTACCTCCTCCATGCCACTGAACCATCTACAACAGAAATGTCAAATTCATGACGTCACGCAACATATTGGGACGGTTTTGCCATTACCGGCAATGGGGTGGGTGCGGCTTCCGGATGATGTGTCTGGCCCGTGGGCCAGCAGTTTGACACCCCTGATGTACAAGAACCACTATTTGTTAATTAGATCAACTTTTTCCAACTCATTGCCTGTCAGCTGTTTTGGCTTCAACTCTCATATTGGCTGGGAATTGTATGAGTTAAAATTCCAGCATTTTGTTTCTAGCAGCAGCTAGCTAAATAGTCTAGCAAGGTATGATGGACATGCTCTTTTGATTATACCAACAACTGTGTAATCAAAATTTGATTGATTTTGAAAGGACAAAATACTTACCATAGTGAATATCTATGGAGATTCTCAGTCATCCAGGTCATGGTTGTCCCAAAGGTGCTTTTTCAAGAGGCAACCATGAAGGGTTGGATAGGTGATTACCTGCACCCTGAATTGCAGCCAGAAGATGACTGGTAACTAGTGCAACTTGTGCAGCAGCAATGATGCATAAAGCAAACCTGCATGTGTATATGTATGAATACTAGGAAAGTAGGTAAATAAGTAAATTAATTTAATGGTTAAAGGTACTAGACTAATGTCTATGGAGATTCTCAGTCATCCAGGTCATGGTTGTCCCAAAGGTGCCTTTTCAAGATGCAACTGGGCTTTCTTGTTTTTCTTTGAAGATATTTCGCTTCTCACTCAAGACTGGATGCTGGAATCCTTCCATTCCGCATCATCCAATCAGAGCTGAAGAAGCTTCTTGGATGAGAAGTGAAACATCTTCAAAGAAAATCAAGAAAGTCCAGTTGCTTCTTGAAAAAGCACCCTTGGGACTACCATAGTGAATAAACACTCACCTGCAAATTCATTTTGTTTGCTCTAAAATTACTGACAGAGAAATGTACTCAAAGTCCTAATAGTTTTGCATCTTGTGGGAACAACAATCCTCATCTAAACTATACATGAGGATTTGGTGTAGCCAGTTTGGTGTAATGGTTAAGGTACCAGACCAGAAACTGGGATTCTGTGAATTCTAGTCCACCTTAGGTACAAAGCCAGTTGGATAACCTTGGTCAAATCACTTTCTCTTAGTCTTAGGAATGAGGCAAATTACTCCTGAAAAATCTTGCCAAGAAAACTGCAGGGACTTGTCCAGGCAGTCTCCGAGAACTGGACACAACTGAACAGAAGAAAAAAAAACATGGGAAGACTGAGATGAAGTTGTTTTGTACTATAATTAAAAACAAAACTGTGCCAAATGAAAAGTTTACTAGAGGAGAAATGTTTTTGAAATTTCTCATGGGACTGACCTCAATTGTG